GGAACCCGTGGTGCTAGATGTTGTTGCACTCCAATTCCCAACACTGGCCAAGGTCAGGGACGATGGAAGTTGTAGTCCAGCAAGCTTCCCACCCCTGCACTACAGACTGCCCAGCCCCTTTTCTCCAGGATCTGTTTTCTAGTATAATGGCTATGGATGGGACATTGAAGCTCCTTGACACCCATTTGATTCACCCACCTTCAAGTGCTGCTTTCCAGTCTGATGCCAAGCAAACTCACTCATTCCGCTCTTTTGAACTCAACATTACTAGGCAGCCCAAGGCTCACATAAATTAGTTTTCATTGCTAAAGAATGGTTGTTGTAAGAAGAGAAGTTTAGGAATGCAAAGAACATTGTATCAGAGACTACCAGATGTGAAATACCGCCGCCCCCCTCTAAGCAGCATGTTTTCAAAACCTTAAATGCGATCTTGTGAGGGTATCTCCTGATTACCTTAATTCTAACTGCCGCGTTTTTCAGTCTCAGACTCATGCATTTTGAGAACACATGGTTGTCAACACCAAGGATTAGTATGTTGAAAGGAAACTTAGACCATGTCTTGAAATCATTCTGTTTCTCAGCCAGAATTCAATTTCCCCCTCCATTGTCTGTTTCTCTCTTGGAATTACCTCAAGCCACTTGTTTTGCATTATACTGCATGATGTGCAATGTAAATAAAGAGCTTGTTTGTGACTACCAGAGAATTCCAAGATTCAGCCTTATCTTTCATTCCAGACGTTTATCCTTAGATGACTTTTCTCCTTTCCTCTCTGCACTTCAGCATGTGAGGAAGGATAGGGCAAAGACCGTCTTTACACTGACACAGCATTTAATCCTTATACACATTTTCCACTATCCCATTTAGGGTGAACTGTTTAACAACAGTGTGGTACAGTGGGAAAAAGAGGTAATTTTATTTTTAGGCTGCATCAACATCATTTGTTGTTGTTGTTTAGTCGTGTCCGACTCTTCGTGACACCATGGATCAGAGCACACCAGGCACTCCTGTCTTCCACTGCCTCCCGCAGTTTGGTCAAACTCATTTTAGTAGCTTCGAGAACACTGTCCAGCCATCTCATCCTCTGTCGTCCCCTTATCCTTGTGCCCTCAATCTTTCCCAACATCAGGGTCTTTTCCAGGGAGTCTTCTCTTCTCTTCAGGATCTGTCCTTCCAGTGAGCACACAGGACTGATTTCCTTAAGAATGGATAGGTTTGATCTTCTTGCAGTCCATGGGACTCTCAAGAGTCTCTTCCAGCACCATAATTCAAAAGCATCAATTCTTCGGCAATCAGCCTTCTTTATGGTGCAGCTTTCACTTCTATACATCACTACTGGGAAAACCATAGCTTTAACTATACGGACCTTTGTCGGCAAGGTGATGTCTCTGCTTTTTAAGATGCTGTCTAGGTTTGTCATTGCTTTTCTCCCAAGAAGCAGGCGTCTTTTAATTTTGTGACTACTGTCACCATCCGCAGTGATCATGGAGCCCAAGGAAGTAAAATCTCTCACTGCCTCCATTTCTTCCCCTTGTATTTGCCAGGAGGTGATGGGCCCAGTGGCTATGATCTTCGGTTTTTTTATGTTGAGCTTCAGACCATATTTTGCGTTCTCCTCTTTCACCCTCATTAAAAGGTTCTTTAATTCCTCCTCACTTTCTGCCATCAAGGTTGTGTCATCTGCATATCTGAGGTTGTTGATATTTCTTCCGGCAATCTTAATTCCGTCTTGGGATTCATCCAGTCCAGCCTTTTGCATGATGAATTCTGCATATAAGTTAAATAAGCATGGAGACAATATACAGCCTTGTCGTACTCCTTTCCCAATTTTGAACCAATCAGTTGTTCCATATCCAGTTCTAACTGTAGCTTCTTGTCCCACATAGAGATTTCTCAGGAGACAGATGAGGTGATCAGGCACTCCCATTTCTTTAAGAACATCAACATCATGGTGCCCGGATAAAGGGAAGTAATAGTATGGCTCTATTCTGCCTTGATCATGTCTAGTTCTGAGCATCACAATTTAAGAAGGATATTGACAACCTGGAATGTGTGAAAAGGAGGATAACCAAGATGATAAAGGGCGTTATGAGGAACAATTGAGTGAACTAGGTATGCTTAGACTGGAATAGAGGAGACTGAAAGTAGATATGATAACCTTATTCAAATATCTAAAGCACTTTCCCATGGAAGATGCAGCAAGATTGTTTTTTCCTGCTCCACAGGCTAGGACCTGAAACATTGAATTACATCAAATTACTAGAAAGGAGACAGTGGAACAAGCTCCCACAAGAGGTGGTGGTGGACTCTCCTTCCTTGGAGTTTATGAAGCAGAGGTTGGAAGGCCTCTGTCCTTTATGATCTAGTTGAGATTCCTGCATTACAGGGAGTTAGATGACTCTCAAGGTCCCTTCCAACTCTATGATGATTCTCTGATCTAAAGTTTAAGTAGGGAATATATTTTCTTGCAGTAAATTATTTTCGTTTTGGCCCTTAATTCCATGGTTTAGTACTTTACAATATCTCAGAATTTTACTATTAATTATGTTGGGAAATGACTGAGGACACAATCTTAACCCCACTTACCTATGAGTAGGCGCCACTGAATTCAGTATTCTGAGGAGACATGTTTAGGATTGCACTGTAAGTTGTTTCCATGTACTGTTTTATAGTACTCTCTCTGACCTCTGCAGTTCTTCTTATCATTATAATTTGTCTAGTTAACTTAACAAATTCATCTCACATGATTTTTTGTGTTCTTACTTTTTTGACATATTGATGTGTGGATTTGCTTATTCCCCATAAAAATTAAAATGGCAATTAACATATGTCTGGGTGGATCCCTCAGTAACAATAAAGCTTAAAATAAAAAGAATGTGATATGCAAACTTCAAAACAACTGAAATGAAAGAGACTTCAGTTTACAGATTGTTTATGGTGCCCTTTAAATATTATTTTATGTTGCACAAAGACTGCTTATCATGGGGGAGCTGGGGAGTGGGGTAGGAAAGGCTGACATCACTGTCAGCCTCAGCCAGTCACAGTGGCTGGTGGGATTGTCCACCAAAAAAAATCAAATTCAAATGGGCCTATCATAGCCCTCGAGTGGGGGCTGTGCTCTGGCGACACCCCTGGTGGAGCCAGTCCTCACTCAGGTCCACTGCCATAGCATAAAAGCCAGCTGCGCTGCAAGTATGTGGCACAGTTGGAATCAGATGTTCCACCTTCCCACTCTGTATATTGTTGGCTCTGCCAAGAGGTAGGTAGGCAGTGCATGTGTATGGCCAGGCTGTGGAATTAATCGGTCTAATTTTGGGGTCAGGGAGGAAGTTGCCTGCAGTCCAATTGACCCTGTCTGGGATGGAGGGGTGTGCCTTGAACACAACAACTTTCACAACTTTTATTGGGGAAAGGGTATTGAGTTGGAACCTTAGTCTAAGCCAGTGTTTCCCAACCTTTTTTGGGCAAAGGCACACTTGTTTGATGAAAAAAATCTCGAGGCACACCACCATTACAGCCCCGTGACGTCAGCGGGCGGAAGCGCTGCCCGCCGAGCTCGCAGGCAGCCAGGCAGGCAGACGGCGAGAGCCCCGCGCTGGGCGGCCTCTCCTCGTCGTCGCCGCCCCGCGTGTGCTCGCCGCCCGACTCGCCCGCCTCCCTCCCACGGCACACCAGCCTACCTCCGTGGGAGGGAGGCGGGCGAGTTGGGCGGCGAGAGGCGGGGGGCGGCGGCGAGCACACGCGGGGCGGCGAGCGAGCTCCCTCCCACATCCCATCGCCGCTCGCTTCGGCCGGCCTACTGGAGGAAGGCGCGAAAACCTCGCGCATGCGCAGGCCTTCCGCCTGCGACAGCCCAGTAGGCCGGCCGAAGCGAGCGGCGATGGGATGTGGGAGCTCGCTCGCTCGCCGCCCCGCGTGTGCTCGCCGCCCAACTCGCCCGCCTCCCTCCCACGGCACACCAGCCTACCTCCGAGTCGGGCGGCGAGAGGCTGTCGCAGGCGGAAGGCCTGCGCATGCGCAAGGTTTTCGCGCCTTCCTCCAGTAGGCCGGCCGAAGCGAGCGGCGATGGGATGTGGGAGGGAGCTCGCTCGCCGCCCCGCGTGTGCTCGCCGCCGCCGCCCCGCCTCTCGCCGCCCGACTCGCCCGCCTCCCTCCCACGGAACACAAGGCAACGTTCCGCGGCACACTAGTGTGCCGCGGAACACCGGTTGGGAAACACTGGTCTAAGCTGTGGGTGCCCCACCCCCTGATCCAGGATCAAATTCAGGGTACCTGGTAAAGGGGTCCAAGGGTAGGGTTCTGTCCAAAAGCCCATACAGGGGCTAATGGGCCATATAACACCCCCAAATGACTTGGTGGAATTGCCCTATTTGATTTGCATCACAGAGGGATCTTTAAATCCATGATCAGTACTGAGGTAGTTATCAGCCAGTGACCAGGTTGGCTGATTCAGGATATATACTGAATGCCTATGCCAAAGCCGACTTACATATCAATACTGTTGTGACTATTTCGATCCCAAGCCAGTGTCATGTCATTTCTTGCTACTTCTACATCACCTCCTGGATGACCCCCAGCTTGCTGCACATGGGAATCAATCACATGGCTCATTCTCACAGGGAAAGGGGGAATTCCTTTTGTATTCCAATTTTGTAGGAAAGACACACACAACCAGCCCCCAGCGGAATCTTGGGGTCACAAAGGAAGATCTCGCAGCCATGTGTGAGCAGCTCATGTATAAGCAGTTTCCATGAGGCCAGGAGAAAGTGAATCATAAGTAGAAAAGAAGTAAGTCAATAATGTCTGGCAAAACAGGAGGCTCCTTTCATCTCAAGTTAAATGACTGTATATGTTAAGCACTGTTTTGTTTTATTTAATATTTGTGTGCCACTTTTCAAGTAACAAAGCTTAGTTCAAAGTTGTTCACAACAGTAACAGGTCATCCACATTTTATAAATATTAAACACATATTACATTCAATATAATTTAATTGATGGCTCACCAGACAGATTGATGTACACCTGTCAAGCGTGGTAGCCCAGAAGGGGGCTCAATAAATTAATCTGTTTCTGCAGTCTGCCTGGAATGACAAAAAGGAAGGAACAAGAAGGAAGAGCTGTCAAGCACACAATATGTAGCTTGAGGGTTGCATGATGTGGCTTACCGAGTTGCAAGTTTTACAGGTCTAATGTAAACAATAGCAGGGTTGTTTAGCCAGGTAGCCATATTCTTCTACCCACAGAGACAAAAATCAGCTGGAACTGGGTTATTTGGAGCAAAATGGCTAGCTAGAGGAGAAACACCTAAGCATACACACACTCTCTTTATCTTTGACTTGCAGTTGATCAAGACTGCTGAGTTTTTTTAAAAAATGGGGGAAACGAACAGGCAACTGGTGCTTCAATAAGTTCTTATTGAAGAAGAAGCTTATCCTTATCTCTCTCTCTCCCCCCCCCCACACACACACTCCCTAAACATATGTCAGGGTAGCCTACAATTTTTTGCTCTGGCATCTAATTTTCTAGGTGCAGCAATGGTACTCAATCATGTGAGTTCTCCTCTGCAGTTTGGAGTAGCACAGCCCAGATACAGGTTTATTACCTCGACAAGAAATAGGACTGGTCACTGCTAACCTTGGTTGGACTAGGACCAGTATGCTTGAAATATAGTCCTCCTTCCTTGCTCTGAGGTCAGATTAAGAATGGAATGCTGCAACACTACATATGGGCATTCAACAGATACTTCACTTTTTCCATGACCCACTGCAGGTCAAAGGAGAACGGAATATGGAAAAGCAGTATCCTTTGAGGCATTTGAGAAAAGTCACATAATCATTCCTCTGCTTGGTCTTAGGCTTTTGGCACAATCTTATAAAATTAATTCAGACAATCCAGTGTTTATTCTCTTGAAGTTAGGATGGCAGTGTTTCCCTACCTAAGGGAAAGAAACATTCCTCAGCCTCCACATCATACTTTGTAGTTATAGTGAATGGTTTCTACGATAGGACATTTTGTAGGTGAAGATGGAATACATCACAGTGAAATTTTTCAAGGTAAAACTTTTGGAGCCAATCATATTCCAGTCGCTTAGTGTTGAAATGTATGGGATTGAATTAAATGAATTAAAAAATGAAATTGGATTCTGAACTTTACCTAAGGGTCGCTTTGGGATGGTTGCTAGACAGAAATAATATCTTGGCTTTCTGGCAGCCCAGCTGTGAGGGAGAGTGCACTATTCATCAGAATGCAATTTGTCCAAGAAAGTACGTTCCAAGTCCTAATCAATTAAGATGAAGTCTTACTGGACAATGTTCAGGCAGACTACTCAAGAAAACTAAACCCACAAGTCTCGGTGGAAAAGACACAAGATAAGCTTAGCTTACACTGGAATGTTTGCATCTATAACGCGAACAGCTTGCGTGACACAGGATAGCATGTTTCAAGCTACAGAGAAGCACTCAAAAGCAAACGCACAGCAGCTAGTTTGCTACCTGAAACAAAATTTTGTTAAGATCTCTGGATATGCTGGTTTCTATAAGGATTGCTCTACACACACACGGGACGCGGGTGGCGCTGTGGGTAAAACCTCAGCGCCTAGGACTTGCTGATCGTCAGGTCGGCGGTTCGAATCCCCGCGGTGGGGTGCGCTCCCGTTGCTCGGTCCCAGCGCCTGCCAACCTAGCAGTTCGAAAGCACCCCCGGGTGCAAGTAGATAAATAGGGACCGCTTACTAGCGGGAAGGTAAACGGTGTTTCCGTGTGCTGCGCTGGCTCGCCAGATGCAGCTTGTCATGCTGGCCATGTGACCCGGAAGTGTCTGCGGACAGCGCTGGCTCCCGGCCTCTTGAGTGAGATGAGCGCACAACCCTAGAGTCTGTCAAGACTGGCCCGTACGGGCAGGGGTACCTTTACCTTTACTTACACACACACACGTTCCTTAAAACAGATAAAACTATTGATATTTTTCACTAGGTTGCTCAAAAGGAAAAGGCATATATGAATGCCAGAAAGTTAACTGCGAGGATTACTTCCTTATTTTCTATTTTCTTATTTCCTATTTTATTGCCCTGATGCTAGTGTTCAGTTAAAGCTAGCCAGCATGTTAAGTTGCAGCAGGACTATGTCTAGGCTTGAGGCTGTCCTGGACAAAATGCCCTCACTGAGACCCCTCCCCACCCCCCAGATAGATCTTGCCCCAGGAGTGACACAGATGGGAATGCTGAGCCTACACAGCTGGACTTGCTGGCACTGCCGTTTTGATTTAATTTCAGAGTGTGGAAGATGTACACATAAGCCACAAACAATATTAAATGAAAAATCAAAGCACAATATATGTGTGGGTATTAGGATACAATGGTTACATGGAAAAATCAACTTTGTTAAAACATCTAGTTTTAATCCTTGCTATTATGTGCATGGATTGGTATGTAAGATTAAAATTAATAATAATTAATTAACTACAATTAACTACAATTTCTGAACCCTAAACAGGCCTGCCTAAGCTCCACTAGCCTCTTACTACATTCCTAGCTGTCCTAACCTTATAGCATATTAAAGAGAAGAACACTAGCTGCCAGTTCCAGAGTGAATTCCAGGGAACAGGCTCCTGTGGTGTTAGATGCTAATTTACTTCCCCCCTTAGCAGAGAACAATTTGGTGTCCAGGATATAAGATCCACTGAGGAACATCTAAGTAGAAAATTAGTTCAAGGAAACACTAAACAAAAATGTTCCAAAATAAAATAGTGCAGCCTGAACCCCTCCCTGGAATATATAAAATGTAACGAAGGAAGAAGAAAAGAAATCTGAAAAAAATTAAATCTTTTCAAAGCTGACCATATCATGAACATCAGGAAAAATCTAGTTCTGTGTAAAAATCACAAGGAATTTTTTTGCTAAGGTAGAAATAAAATTTCCTAAAACAAGTTTTAAAAAAACTGCACAAAATGTATGTGGAAAACTCAACACAGTAAAGCCTGTCTCAAGGCAAAGTTTTGACAAGCATCAAGAATGCAATCCAAAAGGAACATTTTCTTCTTACTGTGTGCATTCCAGAGAAGAGATATAGTACAGCACACACAAAAAAGATTGGGGGGGGGGGAGCTGCTTGTGTGAAATAGAGATGATGCTAATATGGAGCCTAAAGAAGTATGGTCTAAGACCTCTCTCAGCTCCCCAACATCCCAGAAAGCTTTTCCTGCTTGCTAATTGGTTCCCTTCATTTCTCATTTGTTTACAACCAAAATTTGGTTCTCTGTTGGTAAATGACTGGTCAACAGGCCGAAAGTTCATCATGCTACTGCTGTTTACTGTCCCCAAAACAGCTTCCCTTTGTCTTAGGGATGTGTTCCTGGGGCTGGGGCTGGAGGCAACAGTGTGCCTGCTGGTACATAACAAAAAGTCACAGGTCCCATCCACACCATACATAAAAGCACTTTCATACCACTTTGACAGCCCCCAAATATCCTGGGAACTGTGGTTTGTTCCCTCCATGCTTAACAAACTACAGTTAAGCTATGCCTGTTAAAGTGGGAAATGTTGAAGAAAGGGTAGCAAAAAGTCACAGCTAAGAAGCTCAAATCGTGTATATGGCTGACACTCTTCTTTGGAAATTAAACCAATGTCCAGACTTAACTTTCAAAAACCTTACTTGCATAAACTTATAGATGAATTAAAACATAATATTTACAGTCACATGCTTATCCAAGCATGGGCTTACAGTCTCTTCTTCTAACTGCCAAACAACTGTATTTTCCTCTCTTTCCAGAGCTCAGCTTTCTATATCTCAATTAGGCCATGCCTTGCAGCTCCCCTGAGAGATTTCCACTTTTACCTTCTGCTGCAGCTTTTCTCTATTTCTTTCAAAGCAGCGAAGAAGCACTCCAACAATCTATCCAATTTAACAACATTCACAAGTGGGTTCTAAAACAGTCATTTTGTTTCACATAAAATGAAGTCTCTCCTTGACTAGACACCTTCCATGTGACCAACATTAGCCTATCACATGAGAACTACCAGAGAACTCTCTAGAATTCGGTTACCCCAACTGATTGCATGCAAGCATTTACCATGTCAGTGAATTAAATTACTATACTTAACAGTATAAGACTGCTTTTAATGTATGGTGTGGATGTGAACTCAGTGAATATCCCCTCAAAAATCCACAATCCAAAAGAAAATGTTTGCTCTTCCTGCTCAGCTCGTTTGCAGTGGCCTGGCCTGTTCTACAGGCCCCCACGGCAGATGGAACTTTCTCACAATTCTGGGCCCCAAAAGGATGGCAGCCCTTTACTTAAGGCAGGTGTTGCTGGAGCTGGTAGGAGTTGTGATTCAGCAACATCTGGAGGACCAAAGGTTCCCCATACCTGCCCTGGGGTCTTACCGGTGTATACTCTGGGCCCAGAGAGGCAAATCCATACCTTCTTCAGAATATGGCCCACTGTGGCAATTTAGCAAAGGCCTAGTCACCATAGCAACCATGTATCTGTCTTTCCCCTCATTTCAGAGCCCAGGGGTCCAGACTAAGATCAATCTGGGCTCTGTGATTCTATGATTTAATTTACGGGCTGATTGTCAGCAGATAGCATTTTTAATTGTTTGCCTTTGTATTTGTTTTTATATCATAGTAACTGCTTTGGGTTCCCATTGGGGGGAAGTGGGGGACAAATAAATATTTATGAGTTGAATTAACAAAAAAAATATGTTAATAATGTATAAATAAATATCAAACAAGCAGCCAGAGACAATAAAGCCACTTAATAGACAGACCCACAGCAAGGCTGATTTACTAGGAAGACCTCAGACAGAGTGTCCAAAATTTAAAAGGATATATTTTATCAACCTCAGATATCAGCTTTTCATGGAACAAGGCTGCAGCATGTCGACAAACACAGCATGTTCAACAAACCACAGCAGAGGGGCACAATATTTAATTCAGTCAGCAAGCCTCCTATGGAAATGTGAATCATGCTGTCCCCATAGTACATTCTGTTCATTCTGTCACAATAAACACAAGTGTTTGTTTGCCGAACCCATTAGCACTAAACTATAAACTTAACAAGAAAGTTCCAGAGTCAAGCTGTGTTTTTAGTTTGTAATAGTGCCCGCCATTCCAGGATTCTTTTCTTTTTCTTTTCCTTCTTCCAAATTTACTCCAAATTTTTCCTATTAAATCATAATATTTTCCAGTCTTTTGCAATTCTGCAGCATCAAATAACAGCAGGGAGTAAATCATGGGGCAAGTATGGACAGACTTATAATTTCACATTTGTGGCATTTAAAGTTTTGGAACAGCAATGACAAAGCCCGCCCCCTCAGCATCATTTCTATTATGTTCTATTGTCATGCGATGTACTGCAACTCCTCGGCTCAACTTGGTTTTATAAGGCCAGAGAGAGCAGTACAATGCAGAATTTATTTGTTTACATTGGAAAGCTCTTGTTCCCTGTCATTTAATGACCTCTATTTATGATGTATTTATAGCACTGAATAGGTTTTTTGAAAAGTCTCCATCATTTTTGGAGGATGTCACAGTCCGTGATGTCTTTACTCACACAGAACAATACTTTTTTTTCTTCTGCAGGGGTTCCATTTGTAAACCTCACAAATTTTGGATGATCTGTCCAAGCACTGCTTCCCAACATCAAAGCAATGACTGGAGCCTGGGGAAATCAATCCAAGCTCACATCTACATTTGTAGATTTCTACAAGTCCAAATCAGCACTGGTGTGTGTCTAGGTTTAGCCAATGTGCGTAATGAAACATTGATCGCTTTTTTATTTAGAGGAATGTCACCATTGGGAGGAGCTGGGTTTTGCACCTGCATCAAGTAGTACTTCCACAGCATCTGCATTTAAAGATGCAGACACAGCCTAAGAATGTAACTAGTCTACTTTTAATAAAATTCCCTTCCAGTTTTCGGCACCAGTGGCAAATAACAAAATTGGAACCTCCTTTTCTCTTTCACAATTTCCTTTACTCTATAGTTGTAGCCAAACTTGGTAAAATATGTTCAATTCCATCTCTTGCCTTCTAAGGGTGTCCTCGTCAGCAATCTTGTAGTAGATTGCATCCTTGCTACAGTCCTTGTTTTCAGACAAATGTTGTTTGGGTTCAGCACATAAAGGGTTGTCTCTCACTTTATCAGCATTTCTGTCCCCGAGGATTCCAGGAACTGAGTCAGCTCTCTGATATCATGTACTTTTGTCTTTTTGTCCAGTGCACTCTCATTTACAAGGAAAGTGAGGTGGTTCAGGATTCTGCTGATTTCAAGTTCCAAGAAATCTCATGAGCCAGAAGAGCGATAGTCAAGACCACAAAAGTTGGGAGATCTGTTTCAGTAAATTATAACTCCCATCATTGAAAAGTTTTGATGTGAAAATGACACCGGTGCTCCAACAGTGTTACAGATAGGCTCTCGTATACACAGTTTGGTGCAAATTGATACTCATGGTAGACTCTGATGATGTGCTGTTCCACGTGTCGAGAATGTGAATCACTCCTGCTTTCCTGGGTGTCATGCCCTGATTGTAGGCTTCACAGAAGCCTCTGGCTGACCATCCGTCACAGCAAAATGCTAGACTCATTTGACCTTTGGTCAGCTCTTATCTTCTTATCACTTTGGTTTCAGATGAAAGACTATGTGCTAAGAGACATGACCAGGGTACAGCTTTAAAAGGGTGGGGAGAGCTGGAATTGCTACATTTTGGTCGACAAAAGCAGGTTTGCCCTTTTAAGATACTATTGCTTTCCTGGGAGAGATATTGTTGTGAATCTCCTTCTTGCACATACTCCATTCCCCGATTCTCTTAAACTGGCCAATGACTACATAGTTCTTCTTTGACAGCCATATTCCCAATGTCTCAGCAACAAGGAACTTGGCACATTTCCTCCTTGAGATGAAATGTATACGAGGTAGTAGGGGTGTGCACCAACCACAAGATCCAGTTAGTACCTTGGTTTGGAGCTTTGGAAAACATCCTGCGTTGGTCCAAAGCACTTTGAAGCCTGGCTGATTTGGTCAGGATCCATCCAAGGGTGTGTACACGCCACAGATTTAAAGTGGTTTTGATAAATCCCACATAAACATATTTTGCAAATCATCCCTACCATGTCCTGCTCATCTAAGTTGCAGCCTGCACCCTTCACATGCAGGAGAAGTCCCTAACTCACGGAGGGCTTGAGACCCATCAACTACCCTCACCTGTTTAGCCAGCCAGTCAAAGCTGGTTCCCAGGGTGAGGCAACTGTCACATGCTGACAGCTTCTAGGAGCCACAGATTAAATCTGAGTGCAGGGTGGGGACCAAAGGTGGACAAACTATCCCAGAAGAGACATGACGTATCTCCCAGCAGAGATACTCCCCTAACACCCTGTACATCCTGCTGTGAGCATATATGAACATTATTCATCATAATAGGTAAAAACTTGCTTAACTCAGTAAAGAAGTGTAGGGAATATTTGCCAGCTCAAAGTGAGCTGGACCATCTGTCTGAGAATGTATTGTTGTGGGAGGCTGCTGCCATTTATTCTCCACTTAGCCATTATCCTACAAACCCTGGCTGTGTTTTCTAGCAGAATCTCAGATACTGCAGACCCATGGAATATATCTAAGTGCACAGAGAAGTAGGAAGAAGCTGGACAGGCTCTCTCTTTTTAAATATGCACTTCTAGATAAGGTGAACAGATGTTGCCCAGCCTGCTAAGACAACCTGAGAAATATGTGGCTAGCTCTAGCAGATAGATTTATTTGGTTTCCCAATGCCATGTTAAGAAATAAATTTCAATTTCAAACTAGATAGCTCAAAAGTGCCTCATGGAGAAAACTCAAAACCTGTTCATTCTCCGCCCACCCGCCTGCGCGCCCCACCCCCCGCCCGCAACCATACAAGTCACATTTTCGTCACCTCCTTGACATGCCAAGATAGGGCAGTGATTCAATTTTGCTAATTGAATCTGCCATTTTGTGAAATAACTGGGTGGGCAATATCTGTTGGTTGATGTAAATAGCTTCGCTAACAACTCAGTTAATTAGAGCTTAGCTGGACCTTTGCTTTGTGAATGCTAATCCTTTTCCAGTTATCTTTAAGGGTGTGTGTGCATGTTTAATTTCAACTATGAGATTATCCTGCTGTGAATAAAATCTGTTTTATTAGTACTTACATACTTATTGTGATTTACATGTGAGCAGCTGCTCTTCATTAATTGTCTTGGACCCCTCAGCCTAAAGTCCTTGATTCTTGTGATGTAATGGCATAAAAAGTTGGCTTCTACCTAGCCTTCCACCCACAAGGTCTAAATATGGAGCAGGGCAAATCTCTGCAGATTCCAGAGACAGGCTATGCTTAAGACGTGCTCCAGACCTGAGTCCCGCATGATTGCACCAAACAGCAAAAAACATGTGCTTTTTTATTAATAAGGATAACAAATATGAGTCATATGCACATGCTGGCTTTTTAAGTACTTGATGTTGGCTATCACTTTATGGCACCAGGAGGAAGCCAAGGCAAATAAAATTGTTTTGAGTAAATATTACATTTCTAGAGCATGAATAAGTTTTTCTCTTACAGCCAGTGTGTTGCTAAGGGGAATAAGAACTCAGAACCGAAAGGGGCAAGCAATAGCTAAATCATCTCTCTGTCTTGCAGATAGTCTGCATCCCAAACTGTTTGTTTGGACTCATCCGTGGGTGTGCTAACAGAGTTCATTCTTGAGCAGAGTCACAGGGGAGATGAAATAAAAATAGCAGCTACAGGTCAGATAGCCTATGCCCTGTGCTTCTCTGAGGGAAGTAGATAGCTTTGCATAAAATAGATCTAAGCTTTGTCCTCAACCTGAAACAACTGCAGAACTTAACGTGAATTTGCATACACATACCTCAGCAAAACTATCACAGCATATTGTGATCCATTGCCTTCAGCATATTTCAACCCAATTAACTGTGAATCTAATGGTGGGTGAACTCCTACACCTGTAGGCACACAAACATTCATATTTGATAAACCTTAGGAGAATCTT